GAGAGAGAGAGAGAGAGAGAGAGAGAGAGAGAGAGAGAGAGAGAGAGAGAGAGAGAGAGAGAGAGAGAGAGAGAGAGAGATCCAATAATTTCTCACATGTAGCTACAGAGAGGGCACTACTTACTGCTTCCACACACACAGCCTTGCACTGAGCACCATTGAAGTCATCTGTTGACCTGGCCAGCTCCTCGAAGTTCACACAGGAGGAAATATTCATTTTGCGCGAGTGGATCTGCATGATGCGGGCACGGGCTTCCTCATTGGGGTGGGGGAACTCGATCTTCCTGTCCAGACGACCAGATCTCAGCAAGGCAGGATCCAGGATGTCGACACGATTGGTAGCAGCAATGACCTGACCAACATAAACAGTCATATGAGAGTTTGAAAGAAAAATACGTACATAGATTAGGTGTGTAATAATGAGTACAATTACCGGATAACCACCACACTCACCTTGATGTCTGTTGTTGATGAGAAACCATCGAGCTGATTCAACAATTCCAACATAGTTCTCTGTACTTCTCGATCACCAGCCTTTTCACTGTCAAATCTTTTGGTACCTGTCAAAAGAAAAAAAATGAAGTACAAAATAATTGGTAATGACAAAATAGCAAATTACAGAAGCATTCCATCTCCAGACAAAAATCACATTACATCTACAGCACAAAGATCTTTAATGTCCACATAAAGTGAATACTACGACCCAAGTTATAACTCGATCTCAACTCAGAACAAGTTTCCAAAATATATAATACAGATCAAACTAACAACATAGCATATCCAACCCAGCAGAAGCAGCACTCACCAATGGCATCCAATTCATCAATGAAAATGATAGCCGGGGCCTTCTCCTTGGCCAGAGCAAAGGCATCTCGAACCAGCTTGGCACCGTCACCAATGAACATCTGCACCAGCTGTGGACCGGCCAGCTTCAGGAAGGTGGACTTTGTCTGGGCAGCGCAGGCACGGGCCAAGAGCGTCTTTCCAGTGCCAGGAGGGCCATACAGCAGCACTCCCTTTGGTGGCTGGATACCTGAAAACCACAAATTACCATTTATTTTTATGACAAAGTATAGACTTTTGGGCTTTTTTTTTCTTCATTTGCCTTTAAGAGAAAGTTTCCTTGTGATATTTCAAATAACAGGAGATAAAAGTTCTGTAATGAAATTCATCTTCAAGATAATATACACATTTTCATTACGTATTCCAAACAGCTTATTTCATACCTAGATTCTCAAAACGCTCCTTGTGTGTGACGGGCAGGACGACAGCCTCAATAAGCTCCTGGATCTGCTTGTCCAAACCACCAATGTCGCTGTACTGTTCAGTGGGCCTCTCGTCGACCTCCATGGCCTTTACTCGGGAATCGTACTCTGC